AGGGAGGCTGGAGCTATGCAGACTCCCTCCTCCCTGGTGCCCCAGGGGGGCCGGAAGCCACATAGCGTCCCCCTCCCTGGTGCTCGGGGGGGGAGGGGGAACAGGAGTCGCAAGTCCTCTCCCCTCCTTGCACCCCCAGATCCCTCACACACACCTTCCACCGAGACCCTGCACACTCACACCCCACTCCACTGACACCCTGCAATCCCAGCGCCCTCTCTCATCCCTTCCACCGAGACCTTGCACCCGCAGCCTGCTCCAGCCTCCTCCCCCATTGCCTGACACCCTGCTCCCGACCCACTCCTGCGCCCTCCTCCCAGCCAGACACCTACCCCCAGAGAGAGGGGGTTTTGCAAGCATAGCGATCAGGGTGTGCAGCCCCCTATTTTCATTTAAAATTAAAATGGATAAAAGCATTTTTCTTCTGCCTAGTAATGTTTCAAAGATGCCTTAAGTCAAAGTTCAGTTATAAACTTTTGAAAGAACACTCACAGCGTTTTGTTCAGCGTTACAAACATTTCCGAGTTACGAACAACCTCCATTCCCATGATGTTTGTAACTGTGAGGGTCCTACTGTATTCTGGTTTCAGGAGCAAATTTAGTGCTCAAGGAACAGAGTGCTGGATTGCAATTTCTGAGAGTGAATGACACTGTATTTGATTTATCCATGAAATAAACACTCAGCCAACCAGTTTCCACAGTGGTCTGGAAGACCATCTTTGGCACGAAAGGGTAGCCCAGTCTCCTTGCCCATTTATTTCTCGAGCCCTTTGTGTTCCTTTCCTAAAAAGGATGCCAGTTGTAATGGTTTTTGCAGTCAGCAGCTCTGCACTAGAAATCGATGGAGCATCCGTTCACAAGCCTAGTTTTAGGTAAGCCACCAAATGGCAATAGACCTTTCAGCAGCTATCACCTTATATAACATTCAGAAGAGTAGCGGAGAGGTAAAAGCTTCAGATTAATACTCCTCCCTTGACCCATCCACTGCCCCCTTTTTACAGAATCATAATTTAGAAGGATACTAGTTTTGTTTTTAATGTCTCAACCTCCTTTTAACTATTAAATCCTGAAGTGTTTGCATATTAATGGCTAGCACAGAAAGGCACACTCACACATGCATTAAGTCGCTGTCAGTGTGTGGATGTTCCTGTTTGACTTGAGGTGTTACAATAGCTGGGTGAGGGATTCCAGTTGTGTGAGGGCCTGGAGGTCCAGGAATCATGTGATGTGAAAACCTAAAAACAAACAAACCAAGTACAGAGTCTATAACAATAGCAAGACCAGGCGGCATAGCCAAAGCTTGTACCTCAGCAGCAGAACACTACAGAGCTTGCAATGAAGAATATGTAAAAATTAGTTAGCTGAGATTCATGCATTGTATCTAAGCTTGTTCAAAATAGGCCCATATTTGGGTCTGAAGAAGTTATTTTATTACTTCTCAGATAAAGAGATGGCCATGTGCACAAGGAAGTGTAACGTCTCTACTGTTACACTGGATAGAAATAAAAATGCACATACCCTTAACCAAAAAGTGCATTTCCACAGCTGCATATAAATATTGAAAATATCCATCACCAGCCAAAAAAGGAAGTAACTGCCATGCAGAAAAATAAAAGGAAGAGTCAAAAAAATCCCATAGGTTTGGTTGTATTTAGTTCCCCAAAAAAAATACTTTAAAGTCAATATGTAAGGGTTCAAGATCATTTCACCTATACCCTTTACTTCAACTCTTGGGGCTAATCTTTTAATTTCAAATGCATATCTGGTGTTCTGGAAGGAAAAATAACTGCCTCTTCCAGAACTAGGTGACTTCCTTTCATTGCGTCAAGATAGGGAGAAAAAAGTCATCCTCATAATCAGGGCTGTGAGCCTCAAAATACTTGGGCGTTCTGGCTCCAGTGCACTTAAGCACATGCTTCTCTTTGAGCACATGATAAAGTCTCATTGCTTCCAAGTAAGCACATGCTTCAGTAGCTTGCTGGATAGCTCCCCAAGTGAGCAGTACTTGCAGGATCAAGCCCCGCCCCCCCCCCCCAAAGCAGTTTGCTGCTTTTGTTGGTGTTGAGGCTTATGCTACAGTGATTTGAAGGCGCGAACTAATAACCCAACAGAATAAGGTTGGGAAGGGGCAAAGTTTCTTGTGGAAAGGGTAGCTATTTTCTTCTTGGATACCCTGACTGAAACATGCCTGTAATTCACCTGAAAAGAAGTAGAGGAACAGTAATTAAACACAGAAACCCATATAAAAAATTGTAAGGAGACCATCGCTTAGATGGACAATCCAAATGCCCAGTATAAGTCAAACAAAACACAGAGATGGGACATTGCAACCTTGTGTACACCAAGCACAGGATGTATAAGCCATCTTTCCAGAGTGCAAAAGCATTACATAGAGAAGATTTGGAGTGTGGCCCGGCCAAGTCTCAGTTAGCATTGCTTGCTTGCACTACTATGTAAACATAGTGCCAGATTCACACACCAGTACAGACAGACTGTGTGTATTTACAGCTTATTGGCATCCCTTTCCTTCTAATAGCTTTGGGCTAAGAAATTCCAACTGGGGAGGAGTTCTGCATATTTCCACATGGCACGGTACCCAATTTAAACTCCTTAAGAGGGTAAATTACAGAATTCAAACTAGACTCAGAGGTTTTGTTTCATTCCTGAAGAAAAAATCTGGGGTATCTCCTAATACGGTGTGTCTCACACCCAATCATTCTCATTTTATGTGAAATGGTTAACACAATTCATAACTGTTTCTAATTTCAATACTTCGCTGACGGTCAGGGAAATGCTGAATGAGACTAGTGTGAGATCCAGGCAAACTGTACATACAGAGACATTTTAAAATAAAAATTGCACATACATTTGTAGCTGACTGAAAAGCAAGCAAAGGCAGACCAAAACGCAAGCAGAAGAGCAACTTGCCCTTTAATGCCAGCAGTTACTCCCCAGTCAGTCATTCACCTCCTACACCTACCTGGACATGGAAGGGTCGACTGAGAGTGAGGATGGGTAGGGCTGCCTGAATCCACTCGAGATGGGATATACAGGCTGACCTTGCCTGAGGTCACAGAAGAAAGGAACCCATCAATAATATGATATTGTATTAAAAGATACCCCTAGAGTCACAAGCACCTGATGGGAACTCAGCGTGGTAGCATAAACAGTGCCAGGTAGTCTGTAACTCACCATTGTCTACACACTCACACGCAATACGATTTCTCTCTCCCCCACTGAAAAGATATTCATAAGCTAAGTTTTTGTTTTTTAAAAATCACTGGCCAGTTTGAAATCACTGGGCCAAATTCCAATACCCTTAGCTCTAGTGGAGCAGTAGTTTCATTGCAGTCACTGTACAAATACCAGAATCTGGCCCATTCTTAGTGTATTAAGTCTGATTCCAATAGAACTATTTGGAGAATTTTCTTTTGAAAAGTATCTTTGAGACCCTGGGACTGTCTTCATTTTGCATCTCGACCAGCATGACACAAGTTGTCAGTGCTTCTAAGAAGCTAAAGAAAAAAGTTTTGTTTTCATTTATACCTTTAAATAAAATATAAGTACATTTTAGTCACTTGGGTTTAAGGCTCATCTTTGCAATCAAGTGACTAAAACCAGCTCATTTGAAATTCTACCATTCTTTAGAATTCCTTAAAGATATTGTCTCTATATATGGAAATCTATCACCAAATGAGTGCTTCACTTTGAACTTTTTCTGCTTAGTTCACATTGTCTTTACTTTCAGTTGGCATTGATGCAACTCTTGAACAAAGATTAATGCACTTAAGTAACAAAGTTCAGACAGAATAATTGATCCATCTTTTAAAGACTAAGCTCAATCAATTCTATTCAAACATCTACTGATGGACAGGTTTTAGTGTTAAAACTGGGATTTCCAAAGCTTCTCAGGATGACAGTTTTCACACTTTCAGTATGTGCTGGGAGGTGGGGGGAGGAATAGTGCTCAAAAGCAGGAGAAAAAAGTGGTAGAAATCTCAGTAATGTTGCAGCACAAAATTGAGCTGGAAAGAGGCAGAGCACAACAGATTGTAGAATATGTTCAGGTATGATAGAGCACTGCTGAGTGGATTTCCAAACTTGACAATTAGCTAGTCTCCTCTTCTTTCTCCTTTCCATTTCCTTCCTCCCTTCCATACCCTTCCCATCTTTACATGAAGAAACTACTCAGAAGAAATGCTGGCACTTAATCAAAACTGGGAAAGGAATACCAGAAATCATCTGGTACCGGTGCAAGCGGCAGCTCAGTCTAAAGACCAGTGAACATTAAACTGGAAATCAGGTGCTCTGTCTTTGCTATTACCTTACTACCTGGCTTTCAGAAAGTGACTTTTGGCCTGATCGCACAAGACACAGAGAACCCAGAGCTCATAAGGACCAAGAGACCAAACACAATCATCTAATCTGTCCTGATCTGCTGCACACTGCAGGCCACAGCTTGCCCAGCCATTCAGCAGACCCATAACCTCTGGCTGAGTTACTGAAATCCTCAAATTTTGTTTTGAAGATTGCAAGTTTCAGAGAATCCACCATTTACTCTAGTTAAAACCAGCAAGGGACTTGCGTCCCATGCTGCAGATGAGGATGAAAGACTCCCTGAATCTCTGCCAATGTGATCTGGGGGGAAATTCTTTCCCAAATCCAAATAAGAGAAGCTTCAGGGGGTAGCCGAGTTAGTCTGTACAGAAAAAAAACAACAAATGGTCTGGTAGCACTTTACAGACTAACAAAACATGTAGATGGTATCATGAGCTTTCGTGGGCACAGTCCATCTACACGTTTTATTAGCCAAATAAAGAGTCAGTTAGACTCTGAGCATGTGGTGAGACTCACCAGCCAGACACCTGAGAGAATTCTCCATACAAACTCAGAACCCTCCCCATCTAGTGTCCTATTTCTGGCCATTGGAGATATTTGCCACTGTTAAGCAACCATTCCACACCATAAACTTCACTACTTTCCTTGGAAGGCTGTTCCAGAACATTCCTCTGATCTTCAAAAATCTAAATTTCTAGTTTAAACTTCTTCATGCCCACTCTATACCCATTTGTTCTTGTTCCAACTTTGGATCTCAATTTAAAGACTCCTCTCTCTCTCCCTGCTGTGTATTCCTCTGATGAAAAGCAACCCGGTATCCTGTACCTGCATTTATTAAACTAAACAAGCCAGGTGCCAAGCTCTGAGGATGCTCAGCATGGTACATGATCTGGTCCGAAATATATGTTGCTTTTCCCTTCTGTGAAACTGGAATGAGAATACTTACCTCAGAGATGCATGTGCAATGTAATTACTAATAGGCTGTGTCTAGACTGGCAAGTTTTTCCACAAATTCATCTGATTTTGCGGAAAAACTTGACAGCTGTCTACACCGGCCGCTTGAATTTCCGGAAAAGCACTGATGATCTCCTGTAAAATCATCAGTGCTTTTCCGGAAATACTATGCTGCTCCCGTTCGGGCAAAAGTCTTTTTCCAAAAGACTTTTGCGCAAAAGGGCCAGTGTAGACAGCATAGTATTGTTTTCTGCAAAGAAGCCCCGATCGCGAAAATGGCAATCGGGGCTTTTTTGCAGAAAACCGCGTCTAGATTGGCCACGGACATTTTTCCACAAAAAGTGCTTTTGCGGAAAAGCATCCTGCCAATCTAGACGTTCTTTTCCAAAAATGCTTTGAACGGAAAACTTTTCCATTAAAAGCATTTTCGGAAATTCATGCCAGTGTAGACGTAGCCATCGAGTTTTGAGGCATGCAGTGGGGTTCATTAGGTAAGGCACAGAACTGAGTCACGAGGTGGGGGATTCAAATTCACTTAACCCCCTCTGCATTTGTTATCCATTCTAAAATGCTTGGTGATTCTCAGACAGTAAATGTTAAGCATTATTGATCATTCTATAATTAGAGGCACTATACGTAAATATAGTTCCTGAAATAATCCTCCTCCAAGCATGTAAGTTGGAGCCTTATATTGCTTATATAAAGTTAAAAATTAATACATGAACTCTCCAGTAACTGAGTGTACTTCTCAAATCATACAGGTTCTGTAAGAAACATGGTAAAAGTTTGTTCTCTATTTTGATGCAGTTTCCAGTTTAAAAAAAAATCCTTACTTGAAAGTTTGTTACAAGTATTTTGTTTATTGAAAAAAATTGGTCTTTAGTTTCTTGAGACTTGTTTTTCTTCAATCCTACTAAATGCCAAGAGCCAGATGTGAGAACCATAAGAAGTATTCTCACTTCAAAGTGAAAGCTACGTACGTCAATATCTGTATATGTTAAATAAATCCAGTTCCTTTCAAAGATCAACATTTTTGATCTTTCAAACTAAATAAGTCATGTCTTTCGCTACAGTGATGTTTTTGTTAGTTCTTAAATTTTGCAATATTCCTACTGAGGATGTGTGTGGACATATGCCTAAGCAGCAGCAAAAGGAACTTACCAGCCAAGAGGTGGTGTTATCTGTCCTACACCACCAGGAGACAAGGGATAGAAGGTAGGGATATCAGGAGCTTGAGGATGCCTGGACATGCCTGTTGGAGAGCATGGAAAAATAAGTTTGGAAAATGCAATGATTAATACTATAAAACAAAACTAACATGGTTAACATCACTATAAAAACTGCTGTTCTGCACAAGAAAGTTAGCTTCATTTTTTGTTATTAAAAGAAAACACCATTAATTCCAGCCTTTAGAATAATAAGTAGCTTGCATCTTCCAGTAGGCTAAGGATAAGAAAGGAAAAGAAAACCATGGACCTTGAATGCAGCCACCATGAAATCTAAAACTCTTATGGAGATGCTTTGGCAATACAGGCAGTCCCCGGGTTACATACAAGATAGGGACTGTAGGTTTGTTCTTAAGTTGAATCTGTATGTAAGTCGGAACTGGCGTGAGCCGCTGCTGAAACTGATCAGTTTCAAACGCGGCTGAATCTGGACGCCAGTTCTGACTTACATACAGATTCAACTTAAGAAACCCAGGCGTCCTGATTCAGCCGCTGCTGAAACTGACGGGAACGCGGGACGCCTGGGGCAGAGCAGCTGGTGTGCTGCTGGGTTGGTCCGGAGCGGCGCTGCGGGACCAACCCGGCAGTCCCCAGCTGCTCTACCCCAGGGGTAGGCAAGAAAAGCCTGGTCTGCTGAGGGGGGCACTAGCTGCACCCGCCCCCCAGCAGCCCAGGGAGACGGGGGGTGGCGGGATCGCCCAAGTCCTCCACGGCTTTGCTCTGTCTCCCTGGTCTGCTGACCTGGGAGACGGGGAGCAAAGCCGCGGAGCACGCCCGCAGGGGGACAGCTCAAGCGCGCCCGGGCTGTCCCGCTGCGGGCGTGCTCCAAGGCTTTGCTCCCTGTCTCCCTGCAGACCAGGGAGACGGGGAGCAGCTTTTCTCGCCCCAGAGGACGGGGGTGGCGGACCGCGGCGCATCTGGGCGTCCCACCGCTCCCGTCCTCCAGGGCGAGAAAAGCCCCGTTCGCAACAGCAGATCTGACATAAGTCGGATCCGCGTAACTCGGGGACTGCCTGTACTTCATCTCTGAAAGTACTGTGAGTCCTGAGCAAGTGTTCTGAAGAGCCAAATGAAAGGAGAAAAATAAAGCATTTTCCAACAGGCAGCACACCAGAGCTAACAGATTAGGTAAATTGCTCCTTGTACATTTTTTACTGGTTCCCTTATGAATTTACAGATTTTGGAAACTTGCTACCACAGAGGATCAGTGGTTAATTAAGAATCATATTCAGGCCTATAATGGTCACACTTGATATGATTCATCTGGCTTCTGATTGTCACTCTAGCTCCAACTAAGCTCTTCATCAAGTTGACTCCTGTGGGTTCCAAGGTCAATCTGTTATTGCACTAGTGTTTCATGGAAAAAGTAAGAGTCCCATGAGAAGTGATCTATCAGTTCACATTGCCCAGAATACAAAGTCCTACAACTGTAAAAATCACCTCAAGATTAAAGCTAATCTTAGTCCCAACTGGGCCTGTAATTTTTGTGTTTTACCTAAAACTCATACTCCGAGGAGAGTGAGAGAATTATGGTTAGAGGCCACAGACACTGGTTTATTAAAAATGTGTTTGAGGAAGAGGAGGGGTTTGAAACAGCAAGAATTGCAATTTAATTTACATGCTAAATCAGCTACTTTAAATTTTATATTTATTATGTAAATAGTCATATTCTAAATATGAAGAATGAAATGTTGTGCTCTTTACTTTGAGACACTTAATATTGATATTTTGACCAGAAACTTATTTTTAAAGCTACATTTATATTAAGGGATTTAAAAGAAATATAGACATTTTAAAATTATAGTATTTGGGTGTGGGGCTGAGGATGGCAAAAATGTCACCAAAAATGTTGCTGCTACTCCGTCACTTTTGGCATTTCAGTAGGACCAGCAATGAACAACGTAAGACCAGAAGCTGAAAATTCATCTATGGCAGGGGCGGGCAATAAGCTGGAGGCATTTCGCCAGCTTAGCTCCCAGGCCGGCTACTGCTTTATTTAGCTGCACCTCTGCAGGTACAGGCAGTTGCATTGCCGCGGGCCGCTGGTCATGGTTCATGGTTACAGGCTGGGGGCTGGGGGGGGAAAGAAAGTAATAACTGACAGAAGTGAACTTTCATTTGACTTATTCCTGGGTACTCATCTCTTAGGGTATGTCTACACTACCCCGCTAGTTCGAACTAGGAGGGTAATGTAGGGCATACTGCACTTGCTAATGAAGCCCGGGATTTGAATTTCCCGGGCTTCATTAGCATAAGCGGGGAGCCGCCATTTTTAAATCCCCGCTGCTTCGAACCCCGTGCAGCGCAGCTACACGGGGCTCGAACTAGGTAGTTCGGACTAGGGTGCCTATTCCGAACTATCGGTACACCTCGTTTCACGAGGAGTAACGGTAGTTCGGAATAGGAACCTAGTCCGAACTACCTAGTTCGAGCCCCGTGTAGCTGCGCTGCACGGGGTTCGAAGCAGCGGGGATTTAAAAATGGCGGCTCCCCGCTTATGCTAATGAAGCCCGGGAAATTCAAATCCCGGGCTTCATTAGCAAGTGCAGTATGCCCTACATTACCCTCCTAGTTCGAACTAGCGGGGTAGTGTAGACATACCCTATACCCTCCTAGTTCGAACTAGGAGGGTAGTGTAGACATACCCTTACAGATTCTGTAACCAGAACTGCCATACCAAATTAAAAAAAGACCAGTGTCTTTCACCTCTGGCAATGGTTAATCCCCCTGGCTCTCAAGGAATAAGAGACCAATATATTGTTCTGTTTTATATAAGGGACTGGTGCTATTCCCCACACCCTGCAACATGCCATTGAATTCAGACCTCCAAGGACTACAGATTCAATAAGAAACATGTTGGCTACTTGCTGTAAGTAATAAAATGCATGGGCTGATTATGTTTGGGCTGAAAGTGGAACTTTCTGTTATTAGTGTGACATTTACCCACATTTTTAGTGAGCCCTTGCTGCCATACATGAAGGGATGGCAAAAGGAAGAACTACTCTCCTTGGACAGTGCCTTTGCTGTGTGTTTGTTCATATACACAAAAAGTAAGAGTCTTGTAACTATTTACTAGCCCTGAACTCCCAGATAAGTCACCTTAAAGTTCAGCTGTGCAGGAAGGAAAACTGAGAAAAAATATCCATTTTTTTTGTTTTGTCTCCAGGAACACAACAAATCTCAATGGCAACCACTGAAATCACCACCTTTGGTTAAGAATTGTTTGGGTATGGCAGTGGTCACTAACCAGTAGATCTGGATCTGCTGGCAGATCTTGGAGCCTCTGACTCGTTTGGCCAGAAAGCTATCAAGTGCTGGCACTTCAACTGCCCCTCCCGCTAATGCTGCGTATCTCCTGCCCTTTGCCTTGAAGCTGCCTTTCCCTCCCCCCCCACTATCCGGGAGCCTCCTGCTTGCTGTGTAGGGCAGGGGAGGAAGACGAGGGGTGCTGATGTCCAGGTGCCCCCTCTCCCACCCTGTATCCTACCTCCACAGAGCAGGGCAAAGGGCACAACAGGACTTGCGAGGAAGTTTGCTGGCTGCTTTTGGGAGTGCTGCTTAGCCCCACTGCACCACCACCCAGGAGCAGCCTGAGGTAAGCAGGACCCAGTCAGAGCCCACATCCTGAAACCCTGCCCCAGTTATGAACCCCCTCCTGCACCCTAAGCCCCTGTCCTAGCCCTGAGCACCCCTGCATCCAAACACCCTCCCAGAGCCTGCACCCAGAACCCCCTCCTATACCCCAACTGCCTGTCCCAAGCTCATCTCAGAGCCCCTCTCGCACTCCAAATCCCTTAATCCAAGACCAGAGCCTGCACCCCAACCCTCTGCCTCACCTAGTGAAAGTGAGGGAGGATGGGGGGGAGGAAGGACGGAGTGAGCTGGAAGCATATGGCAACATATTCTTGGTTCTGGTGCACTGACAGCATTTAAATTGGGTCTCCTGAAACTGACCAGCAGCGGCTGAATCAGGACTCCTGGGGCTGAGCAGCTGGGGTGCTGCCGGGTTGGTCCAGTAGCGCCAAGGAGCGGTGCTGCGGGACCAACCGGCAGCGCCCCACCTGCTCTACCACAGGCCCCGGGCTTTGCTCCACATCTCCCTGGTCTGCTGGGGGGGGCACTAGCTGCGTCCCCCCCAGCAGACCAGGGAGACGCGGAGCAAAGGATATTGGCACTTCTTTCCTGAAAACTCCTAGGCTGTGTCTACACTGGCATCCCTTTCCGGAAAAGGGATGCTAATGAAACACTTCGGAATTGCAAATCCGCGGGGGATTTAAATATCCCCTGCGGCATTTGCATTTACATGGCTGCCGCTTTTTTCCGGCTCGGGGTTTTTGCCGGGTTTTGCTACAGTAGGAATAAGAGATCCTCTGGAAAAGGGCTTATTTTCCGGAGAATCGCGTCTACACTGGCGCTTTTCTCCGGCAAAAACCAGCAGACCGGGGAGACGGGGAGCAAAGCGGCACAGGACCCGGGGCCGCTTCCAGATCAGCTGGAAGCGCCGCGGGTCGGGCCGGGTCCTGCGCGGCTTTGCTCAGCGTCTCCCTGATCTGGAAGCGGCCGCGGGTCCGGCCCCCGGTGCTCCGCTGCTTTGCTCCCGTCTCCCTGGTCTGCTGGCTCCCACAGCAGACCAGGGAAACGGGGAGCAGCTTTTCTCGCCCCGGAGGAGGCGGGCGGCGGGACCAGGCGTCGGATCCGCGTAACTCGGGGACTACCTGTACACAGAGAAATAGCTGACATCTAAAGATGCACACATCTAAAACTCGGTCTTTCTGCAAGACTAGAAATCATACACAGTTAAAACTACTTGCCTAAGATTCTGCTAGACTTACGTTGTCTCAAATTGTGTGTTCTGAAAACTACACATCTGTTTTACAGACCACTACTCAACTAAGGTAACTGGCAATAAGGAGAGAAAGGGAACAGAGAACTTTCCTCTTGCACGGCATTACTGTTGATGAAATATGGGGAGGAACAAGGACATAAAATATAAGGTTCACAAAATGACCTTAATGTTTCAAATATATAATTCATCTCTCCTTCCTGTGTCTCAAGTCATTGAGATTCGTATTGTGTGTATGCTGCAATACTTTGGCACAACAGGGGGCGCCAAGGACTGAATTATTTAATCATTTAAAATATTGTGATGAGCAAAATAAGCCAAAGTGGTAGTAAATGTGCATTATCCTCCAACTTTAAACAGTCACTGAAGATATTTATATTATGCAAGAATGGCTGTCTCATGCCAACATGTTACATATCAATCTAGCAAATGATCTTCTTCTGAGACCCCCACCTCCACCCCAAAAGCGGGGTTTATGTTAGACCTTTTGATCTGTTGGTGGTGTTTGTAAGCTCCAGGGTAGTAGAATTCCCAAACAAGTATTCACAGTTGTTTCTTGTGCTTTCCTTTAGCTCAGGGGTGTCCAAACTTTTTTCAAAGAGGGCCAGATTTGAAGAAGTGAACATGCGTGAGGGCCGTCTCCGCACTCTCAGCCTCAAAGCGGAGGGCCCGTGTAGTCGGAGGCGGGCGGAGAGCGCAGTGCACGCCGGTCTCACGGCGGCCCGGGGGCAAGGCGAACCCGCAGCCGAGCGGGGGAGCGGGGCTGCGGACGTGCCCTACAGGGCAGGCTCTAGGACCGCGGAGGCCATGGCACGCCGGTCTCCCGGCGGCCCGGGGGCAGGGCGAACCCGCAGCCGAGCGGGGGAGCGGGGCTGCGGACGTGCCCTACAGGGCAGGCTCTAGGACCGCAGAGGCCATGGGCGGCGGCAGCGCGGCCGGAAGCGGCGCGCTGGGCGCGCCAGTTCAAAAGAGCGCCGGGGAGCCAGGAGAGGGGGAGGATGCGGGGGCCGTATTAAACCGGAACATGGGCCGCAATTGGCCCGCGGGCCGGACTTTGGACATGCCTGCTTTAGCTGTTAGAAGTAGCCTCACCTTGTTTGGAATTGACATCTGAAGGGATGTGTGAAGGGTGTGACCCTGGAGAAAAGTGCTCGTCGCTGTAAGTGATAAGTGGAGTAAGAGGATGAACTGCATGTGAAGGCTGCACCACTGGCACCTTATTTGACTGCAAGACAGTAAAAAACAAACAAACAAGAAGCATTAGTAGCAATTCCCAATTCTCTAGCAGTTTCTTGGGGGGAGGGAAGAAGGGGAGGGACATTCATAGTAACATTTTAAAAATATTCTTATTTGTGTGACTCACCATATTTAACCTCCTTGTTCCTGAACACACACAACATGGAATCTTAGGCTATGTCTACACAACCAAGCTTTGTTAACTAAACTTATATCGACACCCAAAAGGCAACAAACCAAAAATCGCTAGAAGGTGTTCACTTTCGCTCCCTCTGTCGATGGATCATGTCCACCCTGGGGGCACCATCCTCGATAGAGCGAGCTCTGAACTGGGGTTGTGAATCCCCCAGTGCCCTGTTGTGGGAAGGCACAGCTGATCCCTGCACATCTTGGGATTTCCCCTGGGTTCTCCCACAGCCTCTTCAGTTGCCAGGAGTGGCATCATGAGTAGCTGTGAGCCCTCAGTGCTGCGGAATGTCAAAGCAGCACAGCTACCTGTGTCTCTCCCCCTGCAGCAGCAGCCGTCTTCCGGCCCTTGTGTTCCTAGTGCAGCAAAGAACAGGAGCAGTTCAATGATTTGCTTTTTCTGTGTTCCGCAAATGGAGCAGCTCACTCAGCTGCTGAGCACTTCTTGGAGCTTTGAAAGGGGGAGGGGAGCATGCCTGCAGGGCAGCAGAGATCAAAGTTGACCAAAGGCAACAAGGCAGGCATTGTGGGATACTGGTGGAAGCCAGTGTCTACACTAACAATGAGAAGTCCCGTGGCACCTTATAGACCAACAGATTCATTTGCAGCCTAAGCTTTCGTGGGCAAAGACCCACTTCATCAGACTAACACGGCTACTCCTCCGATACTTGTCACCATGCAAGGCACTGTATTTAGTGGAAATCCATCAGCCTCATGAAAAAACTCTGACGAAGTGGGTCTTTTCCCACGAAAGCTTATGCTTCAATAAATCTGTTAGTCTATAAGGTGCCACAGGACTTCTCATCGTTTATGCAGATTCAGACTAACACTAACCCTCCGGTAAGTGTCTACACTGGCTCTTTGTCGACAACACAAGGAGGAGAAAAGACAAAAGTCTCTCGCAGAGGTGGACATTTTTCGTCACCGAAACTGGGCATTTTGCCCCAAAAAAGTTCCACTGCAGTGTGTATATCCTCATGGTTTTTGTCACCAAAAGGCAGGTTTTGGCGACAAAACTTTGTAGTGTAGACAAAGCCTTACCTGAGAGTGCAGATTTCTTTTTAGGGGGATTAGGCATGGCAGTCAGGCTTGTAGTGGTAGCCTGAGAACTGTAGGGGTGGACTGGATAGACAGAGTACTAAAGTAGCCAGGAAGTAGCAAAAGTGAGGCGGACACATAGCTGCAGCTGCTCCTGGGAGACCTTGTGGAGTGGGGTTATGGGGAGAAGCTAGAGGAGGAGCTAGCTAATAGGAGGGCAGGCAGAGGCCAAGCAGGCTACATAGTACCAGAATAGGACTCAACACAGCAGAAATGAAATTACAGGAAAGCTCTTAAGTATTTAGTTGATGACCTCTAATTACAGTTTGCATTTCTTTGGCCTTGAACAGTGAAACGAGTCTGATCAGTGTCATTTTTGTTTGAAGTCACTGGCTGGTTTGTATGCATTAATACAGAGCAATATTGCTGAACATTTCAAACGCTTCTGGGATATTGTCAAGTCTCCTTCTTTCTGTCCTCCCCCCCCTTCCCAAAAAGAGTGATGGAATTTTAAAGAAATGCAGCAGTTCGCAGCAAACAGAACAGTCCCCCATAAAACCATAATTTAGGGTATAAGGAGTTGACAGTTGTCCTTTTGGACAAACTAGATTGTTGATGATCAAAACATACCCACGCAGTTTCTGGAAAAGGATCGCACCAGAGCACTGCTGCTTAGAAACCTAGTACATGTCAACCTAATAACAGAAAAATGCTAAATACCGGAGAAGACCAGTTGTGTGTCTATTGTCCTATTGTGCGCCCAACTGGATGTTGACAAAGGCAGTTGGGTATAGATTAAAACAACACTTTTATTTGATATTTTTCTACAAATTAGACACAGCCATTAAAAACATATGTTTGCAATATTCAGAAGTTCCTTGAAGCTAAAGAAATACTGCCAGCAGTAATTCTTCTCGCAGTCCCACACATTACCCCGAATTCCTTACAAAAAACACAGACTAGAAAACACAACCTGGCCATTTGCATATTGGCTATGTTTCTATATTTTAATCATCATGCCTCTTTTCTCCTAGCAGGACTATGCTATAGTAATCCCAGCATGGAACAGATAGCATTACTCGTCACTTCTACCCCATCATTCTGTGTGCTGCCCCTCAGCAAAAAAAAATTATGTCACAAACAGGTTTTTAATTAAAAATGAAGAGAGTAGTCAGAAAAAAATGCTCTTAAAGCACAGCAAGGATACAGACTGTCAAATATTTGGAATTAAGAGGGGAAAAATTAAAAGCCCATTGAAATGAATTTTATATGAATCCCAATATGCAAATCCTGGTATAATAATAGATTTTAGGACTATATTCAAAGTATAAATCAAGGATTTCTTTAGATTTTTAGAACTAGAAGCATTAAGTGGATAACTACATTTTAAAAAAAAGACTGATAAAAGTGCATTGACGAGAGAGGCTGGGAATCAGTGCAGTATTTTCTGCTTTGCTTGTTTTCAGAGCACCACCCTAAGGAACTTGCATTAGCCTGCAGTATCTTCTTAATGTCTGACCTATCCCTCCAGTCATATAGCTCAGAATCTAGTGCCATGATATTTTGCTAAATTATGCTATCCTTGCTCTCCTCTTAATTTTACGGTTTTCAACACAGATTTGCTTTCCTGTGGGAAGGAGATAAGAACCTGAGGATTTTAATTTAAGCTTTGGCCTTGTCTTATATTTTGCAAGCTGGAGAGAGAATGCAGCACTAGTGGGTGTTTTCATGCCAACAAGCATTAGGTCCATTTTTATGACCAAATAATAGAAGCAATATTAATTTTCAATACTATGTAGGAGTTCAGTTCTAAAGGTGATAGCTCAGACTGCTGTTCATCCCTTTTGATATAAATGAAATAAAATAGGTGCCCACAAATTTCAGATGATTTATAAATCACGTCTCAGGCTTTAGCTGCAAGATTAGTATATTGACTCTCCAATCAGCAGTTATTTTAACTACAATAACTATACTGTAAGTAGGTAGATGTGTTTAGGATACACGCACACACAGAAATATTGATTGAACAAGTTTGGTAACTAATCTTTTGTACCATATTGAGTATAATTAATTTAATGCAGAAGGAGCACATGGCTCTCATAATCATTGTTGTGTGCAGTCAGCATGCACCTCACTTCACACGCCCCTGCTTCAAGTGCATGTCACATTAATAAAACTGGCAGGGAAAACCCTGCATGTGAGCAAGAGTAAACAAAATGTCTTGCAGGCCACACGTAAAACCCTGATGAGCTGCATGTAGATTGCCCATCACTACTCTACCTGCTCCAAGCACTTAAAAGCAACATGTTAGCAGGCACTCTGGATAACCTTCTGTCTGTTGTGTGTGAAATAAGATGTTTAAATAAGTCAGTCACCAGGACACTGAAGACCTGGAGGATAGAAAGAAGGGCTAACTAAAAGCATAAGTGGATAATATCTAAAACTAATTCCTGAGTAGCCCCGCTGCCATGGAACAGGGGGTATGTCTACACTACCCTCCTAGTTCGAACTAGGAGGGTAGTGTAGACATACCCCCTGTTCCATGGCAGCGGGGCTACTCAGGAATTAGTTTTAGATATTATCCACTTATGCTTTTAGTTAGCCCTTCTTTCTATCCTCCAGGTCTTCAGTGTCCTGGTGACTGACTTATTTAAACATCTTATTTCACACACAACAGACAGAAGGTTATCCAGAGTGCCTGCTAACATGTTGCTTTTAAGTGCTTGGAGCAGGTAGAGTAGTGATGGGCAATCTACATGCAGCTCATCAGGGTTTTACGTGTGGCCTGCAAGACATTTTGTTTACTCTTGCTCACATGCAGGGTTTTCCCTGCCAGTTTTATTAATGTGACATGCACTTGAAGCAGGGGCGTGTGAAGTGAGGTGCATGCTGACTGCACACAACAATGATTATGAGAGCCATGTGCTCCTTCTGCATTAAATCAAAGCACTGCTGTGGTTCAAAGTCGACCCACCCCGCAAATGCTAGGTACGCAATTGCAGTTAGCAAAATTACCCTATCCTAGGAGATCGTCCTAGTTAGGGCAATCTTATAGCCCATTGAGATGAAGGGGGAGGCGGGCACTCATTCAGTCCACTCACTAGCCTACTTTACCCATCGCTGAGGTTAGAGAATGTTGTTTACCTATAGCCCCCCTTTGGAGCAGTGAGTATTAGCTTCTTAAAGAGGAACGGTAGCATCAGTCCACTTCCTACTGAATAGTTGTCTAATCCAACAAACCATTAGCTGGCAAGGATGGCAACTGCCCCTAAATGGATGCAGACCGAACAACCCCCTAATTCCTAGAGATTGTATCTTATATAAAAGAGACCCGATACAATGGTTACAGGATTGTGGGACAGGAATGTTAAATTTAGATTAATTGACTGATCGAATAGTTGATGCAATTTACCATGACTTTATAGACCTGTATCATATCCCCCCTTAGTTTCTTCTTTTCTAAGATGAAAAGTCACAGTCTTTTTGATCTCTCTTCATATGGGACCCATTCCAACCCCCTAATCATTTATCTTGCCCTTTTCTGAGCCTTTTCCAATGCCAAGATATCTTTTTTGAGATGAGGCAATCATATCTGTACAGAGTATTCAAGATGTGGGAGTACCATGGATTTATAGAGAGGCAATAAGATATTCTCTGTCCTATTCTCTATCCCTTTTTTAATGATTCCTAACATTCAGTTTGCTTTTTTGACTGCTGCTGAACATTGAGTGAATATTTTCAGAAAACTAGCCACAATGACTCCAA